TTCTGATAGATCTTCTCTAGGATCTCTATGCAGTACTACAAATAACACCTAATTAACAATGTCAATTAAAGCATTAATGAAAGAATTGCTTCCCGAAGAGTGACACTTAAGTAAGTCTGGTCCAGCAGTGAATAACACAGCCTGTCAATATACTGGATAAACCATCCTGAGCTGAGGATAATAGCAGCTTCCTCAGGAGTTTATTGACTAATAAGGGCAACTATTGATTCAATAAATGGTGTTCTGAGACACTGTTTAGGATCTGCTGCTCTGTTCATATTTCTGTAGTTTGGGTTTAATTACACATGAGAAGCATAGGTGTCAATCAAATAAGTCATGAAATCATGATATTTACAATGTTGTTATCATAGAATAATAGAATTTTAGAATAGCTTGGGTTGAGAAAGAGCTTAAAGATCATCCAGTGCCACCCCTGCCATGGGCAGGGACGCCTTCCACGGTCCCAGAGTGCTCAGGGCTCCGTCCAGCCTGGCCTTGGACACTGCCAGGGATGGCACAACCAAATCTCCACTGTGCCAGGGCCTCCCCAACCTCACAGGGAAGAATTTTTGCCTAATACCCAACTTAAACTTGCCCACTTTCAGATTAAAGCCATTCCTCCTTACCCTAACACTACATGCCCACCCTAAAAGTCCCTTGTAAATGTAATCCTTGAATTAAACCCCTGAAAAAAATGGGTTTCCAGTCCAAATGCAGGTGAAAATCATATTTTATTTATTCTTCATTTCTGGGAGAGCAGTGCATTCTGTTAGACCAGTGTATAATCATATCAGGGGCCTTTCCTTCTTCAGTGAAGTCAAATATGCCAGTTTCTCATTGTTTTTGTCCCAATAGTAGGACAATGAGAGGATTTGTGGGGAAGCCCATGCAAGGAGGAGTCCCATAGACCTGCCCATTCCATCACTGAGAGCAGAGTAAATTCCTTGAAATCTCCCTAGAGTCTTAAAGGCACTCAGGTGAAAATATAACCCAGAAAAACACTGTTAYTAGGTAATAATGTGACAAATAAGAGTGACTTCCCTATGTCTGGGCTTYCTTGTCACCCCAGCTCAAATGCAAGGTCAAGTTTTTTCTTTATATATTTAAACATGAAATGTTATGCACAAAAAGAAACCRTTTGAACTCCATTGGATTCTCAGACACATGAGCAAAATTCACCAATGCCACAGGTTTCTGTCAAGTAAATACCCACATTTTGCTGCAGGACACAGAAACTTAAATTGTCTGAGAGAAAGGCAGCAGCAGCAGCATGCAGGAATTAAAAGGCAGATGGTGGCTGTGTGTTCCCTCTTTATGTCCCTTTGTATATTTATAAATATATCTGTTTGTATATTTATTTGTATAGATAAATAAATAAAAATCTATTTAGCTTTAGAAATATAAATATCTGTTATAATATATAAAATATATGCAAATTGGTATAATAAACAATATAAATATATAATATAAAATATAATATATAATACAATATATATAATATGTAATATATATAAAATATATTATATAATATATAATATATAATATATAACATATAATATAAAAATATAGTATATGTGTAAAACATAGTATATAAAATAGAATATTTATATATAATTCAGTATATAATAATTAATATAGAATATATAATACATAATACATAATGCATAACACATAATACATAATACATAATACATAGTATAACATAAATAAACATATAGCTATATCTGCTTGTGCATATATATATATGCATATACACAAACATATATTTTATATATTTATATAAATATACACATTAATAAATATAGAGAAATATAAGAATATATTAATACACCCACGCATATAATTGCATATGTGTGCATTTCATCCCAACACTCAATAGATGAACTTTGACTTTTTGTTGTAACTCAGGGCACGATGTTCAGTGCAAATCTAATTAACTTTCCACTAGCTTAAGTTATTAGTGAAAATTAGGTTGATRAACAAAGCCTAAAAGCCTGTGCAGACAAAGGTTGTACTGGAACTTTCTTCAGTGCATTAGTTAGGACTCAGATATAGAAATACATGTTAATAAAAGGCTTGTTTGCTCCTACCAATCCAAAAATTAACGTTGTTGGAGAAGTGAATCCCTTCATAATGTCCAAACACAGTGAAATGCAATAATAATTTGGGTACATATAAAANAAAAAAAAAAAAAAAAAAAAAAAACAAAACCCTACATTAATAGGATGTTTTAACTGTTATTACAGATGTCATGAAATTAAAAATTAAATAAAATTTATTTTAACATCAATAGGATAAACTGCTACCTATATTTAGAATGAAATAATGCTATTTTTTATTTCATACTTTTTTAGATTGTAGGTAAAAACCAGCTGCATTTAAAACATTTAAATTTWAAAAATGCCTTTTTTTCTGAGCCATCACTGTAATATGCAGGATGCCAGGAACATCAGACATCCAYCTACTTAATTTAGACCTGGTCTTTCTCCAGAAAGATTTCTGCACGGTTTTAAGGTCAAATTACTCCACAAATGATAAACTAAAACTGGATTTTTATGAGTCAAAGGGTTTGGGGGAGTTTTTCTTGCAGTTTCTTGTGTGGGTCACTGAGAGGCACAGGCTCCTGAGTGAGGTGACCTCACTTAAGGGACAAGATCAGTGCTSCTGGTTGGAGTGGCAGATGCTGTGAAAAACACCAGAAAAGGCAGTGATGAAGGTGTTTGCTCTTTGATCCTCCAATTACCTGATAAACCCACAGATAAAATCCCCACACCACAACCCAACGTGTGTATTCTGAATTCATATTTTAGCAACACATCCTGATTTTAGCAACAAGTTCCTAAATCTGAACTACATTACTGCTAATAAACCAGGGGTTTGGTTGATTTAGGAGGAAAAATGGTCTCTCCATACTTTCTGCAGAGCCATCCCTGTTATTCTGCCAGGAATGTTGAGCAGAGCCACAGCACCGCTGCAGCATCTCCCAGTTCAGTCCCGTGCAGCAGATGAACCACCTTTCCTGCAATGCCAAATGTATTTTTATGTATTTATACATTAATATATATATATATATTTATATATTTAAAGCTATTTTATGGTGTATATATTCTATTTTATTGTGTATATATGCTATGTATTATATATTTTTTCATTATATTTATATACTCTATATATAAATAAATATAAACATATAAAAATATKAATATATAAAAATATAAATATATAAATACGAAAAGATATAAAGTTATAAATWTATAAATGTATAAATATATAAAKATATAAAAGGACATGATGAGGGAACACACAGCCACCATCTGCTTTTGAATTCCTGCAYGCTGCTGCTGCTGCCCTTCTCTCAAACATCATAAGTTTTTGTAACCTGCAGCAAAATATGGATATTTAATGGACAGAAACCCATGGCATTGATGCTTCCATGACATTTGCAAATGCCCAAGAAGTGGAATCACAGGATTTCCTGAGTTGGAAAGGACCCACAAGATTACCCAGTGCAGCTCCTGTCCCTGCGCAGACCCCCCAACAATCCCGCTCTGTGCATCCCTGGCGGTGCTGTCCCAATGCTCCTGGAGCTCTGGCAGCCTCCGGGCTGGGACCATTCCCTGGGGAGCCTGGGCAGTGCYCAGCACCCCTTTCCTACAATCCAGCCTAAATTCTTACATGGGAAATCCTGGGAGCAGCTGGAGTTGGGCAGAGAAGGCAGGAAACCTCAGGAGTTCTCACTGTGAGTTCCAATATTAACCCTCCAAAGTCATGGATGGGTTGGATATGTGGGATTGATTCTGGATAATCCATCCAAAGTCACAGCACAACACCCCTTATGCTTCAGATAGATTTTCTATACTCCCACCATTATTTTCACATTAAACCCTCCTTTTTTTCTGTCTTAAAAGATAAAAAAATCACATCTGATTTACTTGAGAGGAGACACAGAAATCAGTGACTTTAAAATTATGTGACTTATAAAATAAAAAATTGCATTTTAAGCTGTGCTGAAAAGCCTCCTATTATTGTTTTATTTCCTTAGATGTTTTCTCCTCTCCCATAGGATCAAAACCAATTTTTGCTTGGATTTTACTTTTACTAAAAACCTCACATAATTTGGTGAAGGTTTTTCCCATCCTTAATTAACATTTGACCATCGGGGTTGAAAGAGAAACAACCTAAAGCCCTGTGGCCGCTCCAGAGGGTGCAGAGCCAAGCTGATGTGAACATTTAACCTGCTGTGGTGGTCAGTGAAATGCTGGAAATGTTTTTTTTTCCTGTTTTCTGGGCCGGTGTCAGGGATTGGCAGCAGCTCCACTCGGTGCCTGTGCCTGGTGCAGCAGCTCCACTCCACGGCTCAAGGCAGCTCCTCCTGCTGCATCCCCAACCCAGCCAGAACCCACCCAGGAGTCAGGAAAATCTGATTTCGGTCCAGTTCGGATTAAACATTRAGCTCAGGGGGTGGGAGGTTAGTTTGGCACCGTTCCAACTCTTTCGTTTGGGAGAACAAAGGAAAGGGAAAGGAAGATTTCTAATGTAAACCCAAAGATTTGTCATTGCCCACTGTAACAATTGTGATTTTAGGGTACTAATCAGYGTGAATTTTAGCACAATGTTTTGGAAATGTGTGAATCTTTCTTGTTTCAGAACCTTCCCCTTGTCTAAAAAATAAATTTTAAAAAATCCACAATAAAGCTCCTACATGTGTTTTTCTTGTCCTTCCTACAGTATGACGAAACTTCATGATATTTAACAAAACAATGCAATCACCATCTTCTAAAAACCCCTTTCCATTCATAAATACACAGGACTGATACTGAAATAAAGATTTTAGACTTGCAGTTCTTCTCAGAGATCTGCTACATCCATTCCTCTCATGGGAGTCAAACTCTTATCAAAATTAAATTGCAATCTGTTTCAGGACTGAATTAATTATTTTTATTCTTCTAATTTCAGGCTGGGAAGTGGATAATTTGGGGCAAACCCATGCAGGTAAGAATCAGTTGTGCTGCCTACATTCTTGGAACCTCTGTTCCCAAAAATTGTGTGCACATGATAATATCAGATTATTAAAAAGTTGTTTGTGTATAAAACATATTGACAATGATACATGTACTTAACTGTTTTATTTGCACAGAAAATGAAATTAAAAATCTCATAAGTCTGTGCAAATCAATGTGATTTCACCTGAAGACACAAAATTAAGGTATTTTGCTTAAACCAAGTGCTCTTTGTTATTGATGCATGAAAATAATTTTTCATTAATTCTCTGAAAACTGATMATATTTAAATGCCTGTGGATTATAAATGTAAAGTCCTAAAGATACAATATCTGACTTCTATAATTTTACAATAAACTTCACCCCAGTTTGATTCTATGTGTTTTTAGCTCTAAATTTAGAGGTTACGCTTTCATTTAAACTCTCAAGTAAACCTCTGTTGACTTCCTGAGAAGACAGCACCGAGTATTTATTGCCTTTGGGCCTGATCTAAAGAAATAAAAATCAATTGCACTCCATTCACTGATTTCCACAGAGACCAGTTTGGGCCCTAATAGAAAACACAATCAAAAAAATTCATACCCAATTTCCACTTTTCTAGGTGATTATGACCTGCTGGAAAGCACAGCCCAGTCCCTCTTAGGTAAGAAACACAACCATGTTTTTTGGTTTTTTTTTCTTCTCTCTTTTTATTTACCTCTCTTAAAAAGAAAGCTGTGAGCTTTTTCCCTCTGCCATTTTGCAATTATTTTCTAATCAGTTCTAATTGTTATGACATATTTTCTGCTCTGTTACTTTTAACAATATTATGAAAATTTATTCCTCCTCCATTAAGCCTTGCAATCCAGAAAGTGTTCTGCTATAAATTATATCGACCTGCTTAGCAATAATTACTAAATGGTGTTAAAGAAAGTCAACACCATGATTCAGTGCTTTTTTCCCCCCCAGAAAACTAGAGATGAATGTGCAAGGGTAATTTACCAAAATTTGGCAAGTAATGCAATGTTCTTAAATGAATGCTGTGATTAAAGAGATATATTCTGCTGCATGGATGGTGAACAGATCCTCTAAAATAAGGTTAAAGATAAGGTTATGGAGACTAAACTGCTCCAAGAATGCAAAGCAGCACAACCTTAATAGCTGAAAACCAAACCCAAACCTTGGAAATTTCTGCCTGTTTTGGTCAAGGTGCAACTGAAACTCCAAAAAGTGTGGTAATTTGGTGAATAGAGGATGTTCCTTTGTACCGGAGAGGAAGAAGTGCAGCAGCAGCCCAACCCTAATTTTTTTMGGAAGGCCACTGAGCTTTGAGAAAAATAATGGGGCTTTAAAGGAGCCCCAGGGGGCTGTCCCATCTCAGTAACTTTGTAGGAAAATGAGTATCAAGAGATTCTTTCTTCTTCTGCCCCCAACTTTTCATTCCCAGTAGGGTTTAAAGCCTAAGTGTGTCAGTGAAGTAATTTGGGAGCTGCTTCTTACATGAAATTAGCAAAAAAAAAAAAAAAAAAAGAATATTTAAGCAACTATTCACTTAAAATTAAAATTATAAACCAGGATTGGAACAATTAATAGACAGAGGAATGTCAGGAGCTCTGAATTCACCAACTGCGGTCACCCTGGGCATCTGGAGATGTAAATGAGCATCTTGCCATGAAGGTAGAGGTGGGAGAGAGATTCCCACTCCGTATTCCCAGTTTTCTACAGACCCTTCCCATAAAGTCACTCTCAATTCAGAGCCTAGGCTTGAAGATAAACGAGTGGGATGTGTGCTATCTGTCTTTCCATGGGTAATAATGGCTATTTTAGATATCCCATGGTATCCTGATATGGCTTCCAACATCTGGACAAAAAAAAATCTCGTTAGCCTGGTGTTTTCTCACCAGCCCCATGCCTGTGCCTCAGATACAGACCATTAAAATACCACAAAGTGCYCATTTTATAGCACTGGGCTTCCCCTGTAGCCCCCTGGAAAAGAGATGTCTCCATCAAAGCTGTATTCCTGGGATGCCTTTCAGAATCACTTAGGGAAATGGACATTTGGCTGATTCCTGGTTTAGGAACCCAGTTGAGAATGAAATTTTTGGTGGCCTGGAGACTCTGAATATACTCATTAAATACTTCTTCTCTCCAGTGACCAACTGCAGTAGCAGCCATCCATCGATTGAACAACTGGATCATAAAGATGCCATTAAATTCCAATAATGAAATCCCTGGATAGGCAGACAAACAATGTTTTCAGTGGAACTGTGGGATTTTCTTTACTCCAGTAGGAGGGAGGGGATGTCTTGGGGTTTCATCAGATGATTTTACATTCCCACCTGCCTTTGGCACAGGGGACATCAGCAGGAACTGCACTGAGGATGGTTGGTCCGAGCCTTTCCCTCATTATTATGATGCCTGCGGATTTGATGAGAATGAAACAGAGTCCGATAACCAGGTGGGAATTAATCTCATAATTAAARACAAATTAAGGAGGGTGGGGTGGAGCAGCAGGCTGCTTTTTGTCCAGCCTCTGGTCATGYTCTGCTTTGACAGCAATTAGAATAAACAACCAGATGTATATGGGTGTAAAAATGTGAGAAGTGAGATCTGAGTCCTTCCTGGCCCTATACTGAGTATTTACAGAAGGGGAGCTTTTACTGTTGGTGCAGCTTGAACCATGGACTAACTCCAAATTCTCCCCCTGCTAATAAAGAATTCCCTACCCAACTATTTTTTTTTCCCCAGATACATGCCCAGGGATTAAAACAATACCCTTTTTAGCTCATCCAAAAAAAGTAACTTCATGGTATGTAAACCCAGACACAGAGCAGAGCTCTGCTGTACAGTGTGATCTCAGAGAAACCAGGCTGTTCAAGACCCAAATCCTGCCTGTTTCTCCCTGCATGTTGGCATGTGTGGGGCTGTGGATGAACCCTTTAACCCGTTTTTTTGCCTCCCAAGGATTACTACTATCTGTCTGTGAAGGCTCTGTACACGGTGGGATACAGCACTTCCCTGGTTTCCCTCACCACTGCCATGGTCATCCTGTGTCGTTTCAGGTGAGTGGGGTCATGAGAAATGAGCTGATCAGTCAGTGCAGGAAGGAAAATGGAGCTCATTGGCTCCAAAGAGGGTAAAAATTTTGTCTCACCAGATGTAGAATCAGAGGGAGAAAGCCCTTTCATTGAACTGCTCCCCCAGCCTGGACACACTCCAGAAGTCACATTTCAATAGAGGGTAAATGCAGCAGGAGAAGCTGTGGTTCTGGTTTAGGAAACTTCAGAAGCTGCATTAAGATGATTCTATTGTCTGTTTTACGCTTCTCTGCATCCTTTTAAAAGAAAAACCCCAAATCCTCCTCTTGCTCAGGTTTAGGGTCAGTACTAACCTCRGTCCTGGCTTAGAATGTTGCTGTCCTTAGCACCAAGGTGCTCTGGCTAAGCGTGTTCAGACCCAGTGATATTTCTATGAAATAAAGCTATTTTCTTCTTTATTTCTCCTTTTCCCCCCATCTCTTTCTCTTCCCTCTCCAGGAAGCTTCACTGCACTCGGAATTTCATCCACATGAACCTCTTTGTTTCATTCATCCTCCGTGCAATATCTGTGTTCATTAAAGATGGGGTTCTCTATGCCGAGCAGGATGGCAACCACTGTTTCATCTCCACAGTGAGTAAAACCAAAAACAAGGCCTTTTCCTTCTTTTTTTTTTTTTTTTTTTTTTTTTTTTCAGCATGAGATGACAAAAAGCAGCCAGGCAGGCAGCAGTCTGTGGGGTATCACGAGCTGAGAAGAGTTGTTGGGAGAAAGGGTAGCTTGTGGTTGACTTTTCTCCCAGTTGGCAGCCAGAGTGGGTGTTTCGTCTCATGTCATCACCAGTGTCCTTCAGGACAAACCCACGGGTTTTGTTCTGGCTCTGCCCTGATCATTTCTCTCTTGCACAGATCTGCTCGGTGACAGGTGGGATGAGAGCAGGCACGAGCAATTTCCTTCCTCTGAAGGTCTGTTTTTTGTCAGAGGCTCATTTGTTCTGGATCTCAGGCAGAGTCATGTGTAAGCAGGGTGACCATTCAAACACAGAGAATACACCTGATGGTCACACTCGAAGAAAATCATCAGCATTTCCCATTCCTTTGTCTCTGAAATGTGTAGTTTCATGCAAAGCACTCTTTCACTGGTGCATTTAGCTCTACAAAATAGGATCTGTAAATCCTATTTCCTTTCACATTTAAGGCCAGTATTTGATATGATAAATCATCTTGCTGGGTRTAATTATGACAGAATTAAACTGAATTCTCCTTTATCCACCCAATTGTGAGCTGAATTCCCTGTGAGTCATTTCCACAAGGCAAATGCAGCTGTGTAGTTTCTTCGTCAGCCTTTTCTTTGTCATTGAAACTCTTTTCTCTTCATTTTTTCCATGGTAGAGCTGAAGCCATGTCAGGTCTGCAGTTTGTTCATGCCACTCTTCCAATGGTGGCATCTGCCTCTTTGGAAACAGATGAAAAGCATGAAACATGTTATAATAAAGCATAAAACACGTTAAAATCAGACATTTTATSGCCAGACATTCAGCCCTGTTAGAGCTTCCACAAGCTCTAGAAAAAACTCGACATCTGATGGTTTGAACACCTCGGTTATAGATTTGGTCCAGACAATGAAGTTAAAGTGGGAATCAGTCAAAACTGTCATCCTTCACTGCCTCCAGCAAGAGCTTCCATTTTATCCACTGATTCTGCTCTGATTTGTTGGAAAATCTTGCTTTTGTAGGACTAATGCCATCACACTGGGGTGCAGCACTGGAAAGACCAGYGTATCCTGTTTTCACAGGGTTATCCACCTAAGGCTTTTGGCACAGAATCACAAAATCATGTAGGTCAGAAAAGCCCCCTAAAACTGAGTCCACGCTTTCCCCCACCACTGCCAAATCCACCCTAAATCCCATCCCCAAGTGCCACATTTACATGTMTTTTTAACGCCTCCAAGSACGGTGACTCCRCCACCAACCTGGACACTGTTCCAGWATYTGACRACCCATCAGTGAAGAAATTGTTCCCAATATCCAATCTAAACCTCCCCTGGTGCAATGTACGACWATTTCCTCATGTCCTATTGTTTGYTRCCTGGGAGAAGAGACTGATCTTTCTGCCGCCTTCTGTCAGGGAGTATAGAGAGAGATAATGTCCTTCCTGAGGCTCCTTTTCTCCAGGCTAAACAAACTCAGTTCTTATTTATAATTATTATATTTTATTTTKATTTYATTTTTCRTTTTTCCATAGTTTGCTYCTTCCCCCTCCTGTCAATGCATGAAAGCTTCTGTCATTTTTCACAGCTGATCACTCAGCCTCCTTTTCTCTCACACTTTACTTCCTTAGTTTGCTCCTTCCCCTTCTGTCAATGAATGAAAATTTCCATCACTTTTCACAGCTGATCACTCAGCCTCCTTTTCTCACATTTTACTTCCGTTTTCTGTCCTTGAGTGACAAAACTGATGATGGATGGCAAGGAAGTACAATTCCCAGCTGCCTACAGGAAGGTCCATCCTTCCAGATCCCATTCTCGGGGCTTTCCACAGCCATCCTGCCATTTCACATCCTTCRCTGGGTTTCTTGGTACACTATTGGATTATTTTCCTCCCTGCACTTAATCTTTGGAGAGGGCTTAAGCCCAGCAGTCAGTGTTCACTGGGGTTCTGAACTCTCAGCAATGCAGGATATGCTCAAGCTGCTCTGCAGGAGCTCCTTGAACACTTCCCAATGGTGAAATTGGCTTCTTCCCCATTCAGGCTTTGCTGTCTAAGTGATACCTCACATTTTTCCCAATCTTTAAAACTTTTGCCACTAAAAGTGTGTAATCCCAATCCCAGCTCTTTCCCCTGAGGGATTTGGAAAGGCTAAAAGCTTTTTTTTCTCTTAGAAATAACTTTGCTCTTCTTGATTCTCTGCAGGTGGAATGCAAAGCAGTGATGGTGTTTTTCCACTACTGTGTCATGTCCAACTACTTCTGGCTGTTCATTGAGGGGCTGTACCTTTTCACTTTGTTGGTGGAAACCTTCTTCCCTGAGAGGAGATACTTCTACTGGTACACCATCATCGGCTGGGGTACGTGGCATTTCTTGTCTCAAATGTGTCCTGGTGACTCCACAATCCATCTGCTATTTCCACGTGAGAGTTTCAAAGTAGAATTTTAGTTTTTGTGCTGAAGAGCTGCCACAATCCAAACTGCTTTTGGRAAAAAAAAAAAAAARAGGTGCTTTTTTTGCTTTTTTTGTCTAGAGTTGAACTCAAATCTGGAGGACACCATGTCTCTTGCAGAGGTGTAATCTACAACAAAAAATTGCCTTCTACAAACTATGATCTTAACATCGAGTACTTCAGCTTAATCAAATCTGCAAGGCTAAGYCCAGTCCATTTCCTAAGGCTTCATTTGTGCTTTTCTTCCAGATAATAACTAAATTGAAAATACATCCAAAGGGKATTCACATCTGCTCATCCTACCTGGATGGGAAATAAGAAACAAGATTTATTTCAGAAAAACCAGTTAAAGGATGATAACCAGTGTAATTATTTTTCATTCTGGTCTTCTGGAGATAAATTGATCCCTGTGACGTGTTAATTCAAGCAGTTCTTTGCTGATGTTTTTGTGCAGAAGATGATGAATGCAGAMGAATGCATTCATTTAAAATATTCCCTGAGAAGGTTAAACTCGATTTTTATACTTACAGACATTTCTGAAATAATTAGAAATAATCCTGTATATTCATTTGTAAAGTCTGCACACAAATCCCATGCCTTAAACTATTTCTCTTTGAGAAAAACATCTTTATGCAGCCTGAACCTTAAAGTAATCCACAGCTGGTCTTGTTTTTTCTCTTGTGAAGTAGCTGCACACAAACCAAAATTTTCATTTCCTGGCAAAAACTCCCTACAGGAGGGAGAAAAATTGTTTGGAGAAGGTAAAGAGAAGGTGTGAAGAGAAAGAAGTGAACAAATCATGAATAATCTACACCATAAAAAAAAGCTGATGTAAAAGGATGGTTACTAGAAAGGTTTTAGGGAAAGAAACTGCTGGAAGGAGTCCTCACAGTTCCTTTTGTACCATCCACAACTGTATAATCAGAGAAATAGATCAGAGAAAAGTGTGCTTGCAAGGAGAAATTGGGAGTTACAYACACAAAAATCTGACCATTACAAAAGAAAGCAACAGAAAATCACAAATTGTCAAATCTTTGTAATMGGAACATAAATCAGAGGTTGAGGTCCTTTAATTAAATTTGCACAATTTTCACATGTGTAGATTTGTCTGAATGTGAGAATACTGTAAAATATCATGCATTAGCTGACTTTAATTTTTTTAATCAGTCTTTGAAATGAATGTACTACTCTGATTATTTCTGCAATGCAGCCTGTTTGAGTTGAGTACCATAAATAACATCTGTCTGTTCCATTTATAGACTTCATGGAATCATGGAAAGCTTTGTGYTTGAAGKGACCTTAAAGTTSATCTCATTCCATCCCCTACCATGACAGGGAYACCTCTCACTGTCCCAGGGTGCTCCCRGCCCCATCCAGCCTGGCCTTGGACACTKCCAGGGATCCAGGGGCAGCCACAGCTGCTCTGGGCACCCTGTGCCACCCTCTCAGGGAAGGATTCATCGCAAYATCCCATCTGTCCCCACTCTCTGACAGTGGGGAGCCATTCCCTGTGTCCTGTCCCTCTATCACTTGTCCCCAGTCCCTCTCCAGCTCTCCTGGAGCCTCTTTAGGCCCTGGAAAGGGCTCTGAGCTCTCCCTGGAGCCTTCTCCAGGTGAGCAGCCCCAGCTCTCTCAGCTTTCCTCTGCAGTAAAGGGGCTCCATCACTTGGAGCATCCTCATGACCTCCTCTGGATTCATTGCTGCAGGTGCCTGTCCAGATGGTGTTGGCTGTCCTGTACCTGGGCACAACACTCCAATCACTTCCTATTCAAAACAGCATTATTAATACTCATTAATACCTCTCCAGATGTGGGTTGTTTTTTTTTTGGTTTTTTTTTTGGTTTTTTTTTTTTTTTTTTTTTAAATACAACTATTTTCTCAGCTCCTGCATGTTTCAGTTTGACTCACAGTTCCCCTGACCTGGTGGGAGCAATTGTCACTTTGCTAAGCCAACCAAAGCACTTCCAGACTCTGGGTTTAATCCATGGAGGGCAAAAGCTGCCCCTCAGCTCAGAGCTGGTGGGGAGGGAGCTGCCCTGAAGCACCATAAAACAGAGCTCAGCACTTTGCAGCATCTGGATGTTGATCTGTTTCTTCAGATGTGCTGAGATGTCAGAGTCCTCATTTGATTAATGACATCTACATATGGCTGTGTTGATCCAGGTGGTTTTTCCTTCCTAAATCTGCAATATTCTGGTAAATTCTCTGGAGAGACTGCTGTCCTCCTGAGCTCCCTCCTAATCCCTGCTCCTGACTCAGGGCAGCCCAAGTCAGCAAGAAAACATCTCTTCTCGGCCTTTGAGTCTTGACTGTTTTCTCATGTTCCTCAAAAGCTTGAAAAGAAAGTGATGAACAGATAGAAATCTTTGATGTAAAGAGAAGTAGTGTGGGTATGTGTACGTTCATAGACCAGATGGTTCAAAGCTCCCAGCTGATCTGAAATGTGGGGTTTTTAACTATATTTTTATGACACATTTAGTTTAATTCTGCCTTCCTGCGCATTTTACAAATTTGCAGCCCTGTTCATAGCATGCAAAATTATATGGAGGAAATCAATGGGAACTAAATTAAACATGAGACCCATGTTTCATAGAATCATTGAGTCACAGCAGTTTGGATTGGAAGAAACCTTAAAACTCATCTCATTCCAAACCCCTGCCATGGGCAGGGACACCTTACACCATCCCAGGCTGCTCCAAGCCCCGTCCAACCCAGCTTTGGACACTTTCAGGGATCATGGGGCAGCCACAGCTTCTCCAGGCAAATATTTGATATTTCAAGGTTAATTCAATAAAACTAAAATCAAAGTTTGATATTTTAAAGTTAATTTAAACTACTTTAAGGCACAAATATCTCAATGTTTTCCAGATGTTCACCTGTGAGAAAAGGAGACTTCAACTGAAATTAAATATGCATGATTTCTTTTCCCCAAAGCCTGTCATTTTATTTCTTTTATATCATTTTCCTTTCAAATTCTTCTTTATATACTTATTTAAAAGAGGAAGGCTCCATCAGTCACCCAGGTCTAACAGGGCTATTTTTATTTCTGATGGTGGGAATATGATTTGACAGAGAYTCATCTAAGTGGGTTCAAACGAGTGACTAATTAATGTGACATCAACACAGCCTTGCAAAATTTCTGAAATATAATTGTTCCCATCAACTCATAACAGTTCACTGCTGGGAGCTGGGGTTATCAAGGTTCTTGKTTTTTTTTTTTGCTTTATAGCACTTTATTTTTCCAGTGGTGCCTGAATAGATGTCAGCAGTTCCTTAGTCAAAGATTTTATTTACCATGCAAGAGACATCCAACTCACCCAGAGCTGTCTTGCACAAATGATTTATTTCATACAAGTATTTCCACTGAAAATATCACACTTTCAGGATTTTCCGGAGAAAAATAAATTCAGGTTTCTCAGTGGGTTCTTACTGTTTTAATTAAATCTGCATTTTGCGTGCATATTTTGAAAGTGAAGAAATGTCTGAAATAGGAATTAAATCCTTACTCCAGTATTCTCTTTTAGGAGTCTGTCGTTTTGTTTGGGCATTTTTTGTAATTAAAAAAATTAAATATTCCTGGGAGCAAAGGAAACTTCTCCTCTATGGATTTGTCTTGRTTGAATAAGTAAAGAAAAAACAGTTGTTTACAGAGTAAAAGCAAAAATGCAACGTATGTAAATCATTTACAACAAAACCACAGAAGAAYATGAAGAATCCAATAATGCCTTTCCAGCTCAACATCTGGGGCTGCAATCATTGCAGGATTACAGTAGCTGTAGACATGGATGTGGSTGATTCTGTTCTTCCCAGGCTTTGTTTTATTTGTCATGCAGCAAGATGTAGTAAAACATTGAGCAACAATAACCTGAAACTGCATCTTTGTTTCCTGTTATCACTTTTCTTCTGCAATCGCATCCCTGATTGAGAGGAATGCTTCTAGAGCTCTGAATTAATATAATAAATTGCATTATCTCACGTACAAGTGCTGTTAAGGAAAAGAACCTCAGTGGAGAGGTTGTGTGAAATGCTCATTGCTGAATATCGAGTGTGTCTTGTCTATTAATGGTGTCACTGTTTGTCCCCTGCAGGTACCCCAACAATCTGTGTCACCGTCTGGGCAGTGCTGAGGCTCCAYTTCGATGACACCGGGTAGGTGTTGCTGCTGGGAAAGGATTTTGTGTGCAGGTGGCACCAGGGCAGGGCTGAGAACGCAGAGTCACAGAGCCACAGAGTCACTGGGAAGGACCTGCAAGATTACCGAGCCCAACCTGTGACACATCCCCACCTTGTCCCCAGCCCAGAGCACTCAGTGCCACATCCAGGCATTCYTYRGRCACCTCCAGGGGTGGGGATTCCAAACTTCCCTGRGCAGCCCCTTCCAACGCCCAACAACCCTTCCGGTGAAAAAATTCTTCCTGATGCCCCCCCTGAATCTCTGAACAAGAGGCCATTTCCTCTTGTTCTATTTTCTCCTTCCATTTTTGACACCAATTTGTGCACAAAGGTAATTTAGATCCCATGTTAAAGTTATTTCCTGTTCATAAAGACTCACAGTTTGATGTCTGTGCTACCAGTGCCCTGGTGAAATTCCTAAAGGAAGATGTAGGTGTCAAACACATAAACCTGCAGCTGACCCCATTCCCTGCTCCATTAAATCAGCAGTCCAGAATGTGGTTTGTCTCACCCTACAAGAGCTGTGAGTTGAACCTCATAATTCCCTGCTTCATTGCCTTCATCTTCCTCCACAATCAGTGGGAAAGAACTCAGCTTAGAAATTACTGTAGAAATTCCTATTGSAATGAATGAAATCTGCACCAAACATTGCTGAGCTTTGATTTACCAGAGCAATTAGAAGTTTATCTTCACACTGAGGAGTATTTTCCATGACTCTTGCAGGGAAGAYGAGTAGGGGTGAGACAAAAATCCACATCCTGTCTCCTATGTGAAAAAAAAAAAAAAATCAGTTTCAGGAAGAATTCAAAAGGATAGGTTCTTCCCAAATTGTCTCTTTTGAAGAGAAAAAAAAAAAGCTTCAAATATCCCGTACTGTGTTCTTAAGGACCAGAAGGAAAAGCTGCTCCCACAGATGGACCTGCATATTTTGGGAGTCAGTGTCTGCTCTGATAGAGCAGCACATGTGGCAGGTAGGAAAGAATGTGTCTGGATACCCTGAAAATACAAACTCAGCAATGCTTTTTTTCATGAGAGCTATGTCTGAACTTGGTAAAATGTTAAAAAAATGAGGGAGGCTGGGTAAAATTTCAAAATTCAGTGGTTCTTTGAAAACACAGAATTGAGGGAAAGGCTTCATACACAAATCCCATTTCCAAGTCATTGAAWGCTTTAATTTTGCCTAATACTGGACACACCTGGATCCACAATTTGCACAAAACTCTTTGTTCTGTCAGGTTTTCTTCATCCTTGTTTCCAGACTCTCTCTGGAAAGCACATAAAGCCTTTCCTCCACTGGGGATGCCAGTRCTTTGACCCAATGTTCTATTTTGACATTAATACAAATTAAATCATTTATTTCCATGCAAAACAAGCCAGGAACTCCTGTTGTGCCATTATTACCATTACAACGTTGGTCCTAAAAGCACTAATTTCTCTTACGAGTCCAAACAGCCCTTGCATTTTGCAGGTAGGGAGAATCTCTTGCAGAACAGAAAAGAAGAATAAAAAAAAAACAACCAAACCCGTTCCTTTTAATAATAAAAAAAAAAAAGCAAACACATTTCTTTGGAATAAAAAAAAAAACTGAAACCATTCCTTTCGAATAAAAATCAACCAAAACCATTCCTTTTATTTAGAGAAGCTATTTAGCATGCAAGACATTTAGACAGATTCTAGCTGAGAGTCTCAGTGGTTACTTTTTAAAAATCAGCAAGCCTTGTTCTGGGAGAGGGGGAGAACCCAGCATGAGCCTGAAAACACRGCAGAAATTACTGAACTGGAAAACCAGAGTGGCAAAGGGACTGAAATCCAGGCTTGGAGCCTGAGTCCCCCCTGCCTGTCCCTTACAAAACTGGCAGAGCTCCCTCTACTTCAGCTCCTGACTTCCATCGCTGTCGTGACGGGATTGAGGAGACAAATGCAGTTCTCTGTCCATCCAGAGCTCTGATTTAATGGAGTTATTCCAGACGTGCAGCTGAGATCAGGTTCTGGCCTTTTCAAATGGAAATCACATCCCTTCCCCAGCCCCTGGCTGCCTTCCCTTCATCCRTCCTGGAGAAGAGTCCTGCCTGTCTCACCTGCGCTGTAGGGAAGTATTTGACAGAAATTAGGAGCCYGTTTACAAAAAAATTCTGACTCTTTTATTGACCATTCCCACTTCCTTWCCTGAGGAGGAGATGGTGGCTCCTTCCACCACTTTTATCCTATAGATGCCACAGGGACTGGATGAAAAAATCCTTGAAAAAAACCTCTGTGTGAACTTGATCTGATTCGTTGACATCTGTAAGGTGGAGCTTGGGAATTGAGCTCGCTGGGGACACATCCTGTACAAACACAGGAGAAGGTCTAAGAAGGTGAGAGAAAAGAAGCAGAGGAAATATCTAAGAAGAATAAGAATTTGTAGGGGATAATTTATCACCCTAGAGTACACATTTAAAAATTTAAAATACCTCAGTGTGGAAAAAAAAAACCAACAAAACAGTCTTCAATCTGTCCCAAGAAGATTTTAGGACAATTAGCTGGGCTGTTGGTGTCTACAATCCAGGTAACTGGAACTAGAGGAGGTGGATTCCTGTTCCTTTTAATTTTTCATTCCTACCCAGRCAAATTGTCCTACATCAATATCTATTTGTACAGCTAAATGAATGTGAGAATTTGCCCAGGTTCTTCCAGCACTGGTCAATTCAGTAAAGAATTCAGGGTARAATTTAATGTCCTTTATAAGGAGGTTGAGCTCTGTAAATAATGGGTAATTTTCAGTAGACAACACCTAATTTATAAACGTATATTAGAATTTAAAAGATAGTTGGTGATTTTAAGTGCACACAACTGATCACAGAAAAAAACCCTGATTTCCAGACTGTGGGTAAGGAGTTCCCTCTGAAAATTTATACCCTTTCAAATATTTTAGGTTGGGCATCCAAAGTGAGGTGACTCAGAAATATTAATTTGCACTTGAAAATCTCATTCATCATACAGATAGATTTGTGGGGATTTCAAGTTTCTATGCTTTGCAAACAGAAGCAAAAAATACATATTTTTTTCTGTAAATTTGGCACYGCACCTCTAAATTTTCTCACTTCTCACCAGCTGTGCCACGCACATACTTATTGTTGGTTTTATGGGAATCCAATAAAATATTGTTCATCTGAAATTAATAAATATTGTTTAACTGAAAATAATTAATATTTTTCAACTGAAAATAAAAGTTTAACTGAAACTTATAATCCAGGCATCACTCAGCCATTTGGGATTTCTCTTACATGCATTTTGATGATGGGATTTCAGCTCACTTTTACACACATGTGGTTTTCTTTAAAGTAAAGATTTTCACTTTTCCCCAGATACCACCACAGAACCATTTAAATGACACACAAGGTGCATTAGCTCTCATGAGACCAAGTATGTTTTATCCCTTTATGTTCTTCCCAATATTTCTTGGCATCTGACAAATGCACCATGACAGCCTCTGCTGAGACTTTGGCTCTTTTCCCACTGGGAAGGAAAASCTCCTTCTCAGAGCTGCAGGTACAAAGCAGAAAGATTTCTGTGATTTTTATATTTTCTAGGGGGAAAAAATCAGGGGAAGAAAGCAGGGACAAATGAAAGACAATTTTTCATTTACAACCAAATAATAGAAGTTTTAAAATAGATGTGAAGAAATAATTCTCAATAATAAATACTACTCTTTATAATAGTGCAGCAGGGGCTGGAAAATAAGATTATTTTCATTGTTATTGATTTTTTAGCTCTAAAGATGTATCTTAACATTAAAACCCTATATGGACAYGGGCCCTATATTTGAATGTCCAAATACAGCTGTGTGAAATCAACTTCTGCAGAATCCTTTGGTGATTGCAGAGAAAGATTTTAAATGCTGAGGTAGAAATGTCATTTTATTCRTGATTACTCACTAGCCACATGCCAACAAAGGAGCTGACCCCAAATATTGTCTGGTATTTCATCCTTCTCAGATGAATCMTTGATAAGACTCGCAACCCAATGAGTGGAAAATCATTCCCATCTGTGAATACAGCCAGGATCCTGGTGTACTGGAAACGTGAAAGAATCCTTGTATCAGGGTCAGAAATGCACATTCACATCTACAAACCCTGGAAAAGTAAATAAGACATCAAACTTTGGAATAACCATCCCAAAACCCCATCCTCTGACGTTTTGTTTCTTTTTCTRAGGACAACTTTACTGTTATGTTGTAGACACAGAAACACACTTAGAAGGTTTTTTTCCAGAATATCTAAGCTGTTTARTAAGAAGTACCATTGAAACTGCCACAAAATTATTTATTTTGCTTTCAGATGGCTGTGGAAAGGCTGTAAAAGAAGCTGCAATAAGACAAACTACAGAATTACTGCTTTGAATTTAGATAAAATAATTTAGCTACGAAACCCATTTCCCACATTCTGCATCCTTGGAAACAGTTRTAATTTCATTAATTTATTTGTTGTATTTTTTTTTTCTTTCCTTCTCTTTCCTTGATGGCCGCAGCTGCTGGGACATGAACGACAACACTGCCTTGTGGTGGGTGATCAAGGGTCCYGTGGTTGGGTCAATCATGGTGAGTAGCACTTGGAGCTGACACTTCCTCAGCTCCCCTGAAGATGAATAACCAATTGTCAACATCTTCAAATACTTCACAAACTACGTTCCATCCCTGTGCTGGATTGGTGGGCAAATTCTCTAAATTTCCATCATTTTCCACCCACAATGCTGAGGAATCCCATTGTTGAGGAGAAGGCTAAATGATGGAGCAATTGCCTTCTGCAGTTGATTAAGCACAGACACAAATGCCATAATTCAGATCATAGAGCTCTGGAATGTTTGTCTGGGGCTGGCAGATTTGTCTTGGGATGGATGGAAATCCTAAGGGTGCCATTTGGGGTGTCAGAAATCCTGTGCCATTTGGGGCATCAGCTGAAGGCCAAGCGGGACAATCCAGGGTGAATAAAACAACAAAAAAATGTCAGTGRCCAGGAAAATGTTTTCTCCATCTGCTGGTTGGAGTTAATTTCACAGCTAAATTTATCTAAAATAGCATTATAATTATATTTGGTCACAGTGCAAGACAGAATTGTCACCAACTAAAGCTCTCTTTAGTCGATGGAGGTCTTAGATTTTACTCAAATTATGTCAGATACCTGCACATGGAGGACTGAGATATTTTAAAGTGTCTTTTTTGGGCTTCACAGAATGGATAAAATTGGAAAGGATCACTGGGAGTCATCTAGTCCAGCCTTCCTGTTCAAGCCCTATGATCCCCTAAAACATATAACTCAGGATTATGTAAAGATGTTTTTTTAAATATCTGAAGAGAGGGAGATATTCTGGTGCTCCAAATAATATGGGGATTTTAAAATGCTGTTTGGCTCATGCAGTTTGGAAAATAAATTGAGTCCCTGGCTGATATGGTCCGTGGCACCTGAAATTCTATCAGGCTTGCCACATGTGGGTGTCTCATTCTGGGCACCCTAAATTGTTCTCCACACTCCAGGGACAGAATTAGGCAGGTTTTTGGTAACTTTTGTGGGAATTCAGACATCCCAGCTCACAGGTAGCCAGTGAAACAGAAGATTTTATCAGGTTTGGTATTTCTCCTCTGAAGTCTTTGGACAGGTCTGTAAAGTCCAGCAATCTTCAGACAAATCACAGATAAATTAGCCAATTTCAGCACCAAAACAGAGAGGGTTTTACTAATGTGTGAATTTCCATGTTTTACACACATGTTCTGAGAAGGATCACTTTCTGCTTGGGTAATCAGTTAAAACTGGCTTCTATAGAAAGAAATTAAAATTTAATGCCTAATGGTTCTATCTGTTATAGAACCAAGCAACCAGCAAGGGACAACCAGGTTTCTCCACCCTTTTGTCATCTWCAGATCAGATAGAAACTGCTGGAAAAGGTGGTCATATCCAGTTCCTGGTGTCCCTATAGGAGTATGAGATTTTATAATAGACCAACTTAAATTTCCGCTATTCTGACTTTGAGAAGCTATGGAGTTGGAGACAGCCAAATCTCAAGCCAAAGCACTGAAATAAATTAATTTTATCATTCTCCAGGTTTTTAAAACCAATGGAAATTGATAAACTGATAAGTCCCTTAGTTCAGAGAATGGGAGTTAAAGATGTTTTTACTATTGAGGTCTTTATTACAAGTTTTTGATGTGCAGGGATCTTTCTTTTAACTCTCTGCACTTGTTGATAATGATAAATGTTGAAACTTTTCTATTTTTGTTTCTCTTCTTTTGAAASTGCAGAAATCCTGCCTCATTTTAGCTGCAGCAAGGGGGATATTTTTACCTGTAAAAGATGATCAGTCCCTTGTGAACTTTTCCCATTACTCCTTATCCTATAAAACTTTCAGACTGTGGTTTGGAGAAGAAAAAGGGCATGTAACCAGCAAGTCACTGGAAATGTGTCATTCTCATATTTTGTAAAAGTATGTCATTGTCACAATTTTTTTCCTTTTTTTTCCTCTCCCAGATAAACTTTGTGCTTTTCATTGGCATAATTGTGATACTTGTGCAGAAACTCCAGTCACCTGATATCGGGGGCAATGAATCCAGCATATACTTGTAAGTACAAATAAAGCAGTAATCAAATTAAATTACTGATATACACATAGGAAAAAAAGCCACAAAGTAAAAAGGACACCTCAGCTGAACTAGGCTGATTTTTGAAGAGTCGCAGGGTCTATAAAATTACTTTGGTTGATTTTTACTTTAATTTTTCAATCCATCGCCCATGAAAGTGCATTTTAATGCCAGCTTTCACCTTTCTTTAAAAGGCCTATAAAAAAAAAAAAAAAAAAAAAAAAAAAAAAAAAAAAAAGCATAAATATGAGATTTTTAAAAAGGAAAGAAAAAAAAAAAAAGAAAACTCAAACCAAATCTCATGTTTTTACTGGTCAGTGATTTGAAAATTAACATATTGACCAGGTATAAATATTGTTGTTATGCTCATGTGATGGTTTGCTGTGCTTCATAAGTTCCAGGACATGGTTCAAAGTTCACTGAAATCAATTAGGTTTGGATAAAAGTTTTAATTAACTTTAGGCTGAATTATAGTTTAGGGAGGTCCCCTAGAGTTGCTTATGTCCATATTTCTTGTAAACTTAAATGCATTYCCCTTAAGCCATACATTACACATACACACCACTAAAATATTTCTAAAATACAGACAAATCCTAAAATTTTCGTTTAGATGTTTATAACTTCATTATTTACATTTTTTTTAAAGATGGAATCCTTTTTATTAGTTTCCACCTCCTAACCGGATAGAGGTTGGCCAGTTTAAGTGGTCATAAATCTTATTTTGAGTGCATGCACTCAATCTCCATATAAAAATCATATAATCCTCTGGAATAACTAGGATATGTGGCAGCACATTTGGTGTTGGTCTAAACATCATACACATTTGATTTAATTTTTTTTTTTTTTTTGTGATCTTCAGTGAATTTTGGCACGAATAAACATAGATAGGACTATTTAATTTAGCATTAAATTCCTGATGAAAATAGGCAAGCCATGAACACCTTAAATAAATKATGTTAGGGTAAAGGAGGAGATCCTTATTTTGGAGCAAATACGATTATCCTGTGATTAGTTTCACCCTAAGTAACCACAATCACAGTATAATGATGTCATCTATCTAAATGACAATTTTCAGGGAAAAAAATATCCTCCAGCTGCCTATTTTTCTCCCCCCACCCCCCCATTATCTAGTTTATATTATATGAAGYAATAATATTTTCTACATCCTTTTTCATGTCTGTACTCAGGCRTCCACTTACAGAAATCTGCCCTTGCATCTTGCTCCAAACTGTGCTTCCACAGCCAAAAAACAATGCTTTAAATTCATTCTGCAGGCAGATTTATCTTAGAAATAGAACTCAGGATGAGAGTTAGTGACTAGGTTAACTCATGCATGGTTTGCCCAGGGCTTGCATGAAAGTTCCCCCCATGGATGTGCTGCTGGAAGCCATCCCTGGGTCTTAGGTTGTCATTAAGGCCCAAGATGTGCAGAGCTTGTTCTGATGCTGAATTTTYACGTGCATGTTTGGTTCCTGCTGCACATCTCAGATATGAAGCAAAGCATGCCAGGGACTCCAAAGGTTTAAACAAAATTACCAAACATCCTCGTCATCTTGGATCAATATGGTGACTGGGTTTTGCTGGTGTTTTTCCTATGTGTATAATTAGCCACCAAAACCAAGAAAAAGCATCCTATTTTCTGTTTCATTCGCTGCCATTATTTTTTCCTCATATTTTTTTGCAACTTTGATACCTGGGTGTGTATAAATCGATCTCGCATTGGTGTACGTGTTACGGAGCGGAGTGTTGTTTATCCAAACAGATTTGACAGCAGGAAAGTTCACACAGGAAGGATAAAAAGGAACAAAATTAACAATTCTGTGCAGATATACACCAGACAGAGTCAATTTTTGTGCACACATGCCCTGTAAAAAGAGAAGCTTGGAAGGAAGGAAAACGATTTATCACAATCTGCTTCTGCCACCATATTGAAGTCTCTGGCATTTAGACTGTGGTTCATGTCAAACATTTCCCATGTTCTATTTTGCTGCTCTAGACTATTAAAACATCATTCCATCAGACCAAATTCCTCATCCAGACCTTTATTCAAGAGCATCTCTGAGYACTTTCCTTTTAGTAGATGAGGAACGATGAGATTGAGGAAGGATTTTCAGCCTGTTTCTGAATGGATCTGCAGCAGAGATTGACATTTGTTCTGAATCTCTTTTTTTTTTTTTTTGGAATAGCCCTTTAGCCAGCTCTGACTGCCATCATCAAAAAGAGAAAATGAAAGACCCCAAAAAMTTGGCTACTGACTTTGAATAGGATTCTTTTTTTTTTTGTATGTTTGGTACATGTTTAGTTTCAGGCCCTTTTAAGGACTATTTTTATTAGAAAAAATTACCTCTGGTTCCACTTTATAGACACTGTGGTGGTGCTTCTGCAAAGCACATAAGCTTGCATTTGATTTTTAAAGCCCTGGGGATGGGCTYAAATTCAAAGATAAATCCTATATTGCTACCACTGTTTATTCATTATTAAAATCCCCCACAGGAGAAGTTAGCTGGGAGCTATGACAGGACCACAGCAGAAGAGAGCACTGCAGGGGAACTGAGGTTTAATTAACCCAGTGTAGCCACTGGAGAATATAAAATTTGCCTTAAAATAAATCAARCAATCATTTGTATCATTTGCTGCCCATTACGAGTGCTTTACTACCATTAAAAAAAATGTAGTCTTTTTCTCTAAACAATCTGATCATTATATGCAGCAGTCCTTGCCTTGAGGCTGATAGGAACCTGRAAAGATGTAGATAATTCCTAGCAATTTTCTGGAGTGGCCAAGTTATTCAGTGATTATAAATATTCCATTTTACCTGCTTTCATGTTCATTCATCATCAGTCTCAGCCTTCCCTCGTGCCTTTGGTTCCCCTGGAAGCTGCCTGCATGCTGCTGATCCCATCTCAGCCTGAGACCCMAAAAACCCACCAGGTTCCAGGACAGCAATAATTCCATCTTTCATTCACTGATGTTTTCAGTAGATTCTCCCCTTTACAGCTGAAAATATTGGGGGTTAGATCCATCAAAATGTCTAAGCAGCCGAGGTGGGAAGTCAAAAATAAATAGAAGACCCACTTTGAGTGGTTAATTTTATTATTATTTTGGGCTATTTTTCTAAGAACCTTTCACACTTCCTCCCCAATAGTCTTCGTTAACCATAAACTACTTTTTAGTGTGTGGACTTCCAAAGATTTAAGTTATTTTTTTTCCTTGAAACTTATCTGGTTTCAGTCAGTCCTGAATAATTCTGCCAGATTAAGCATCGAACCAAAGCAAGATCAGTAATGCAAGTGCAATAGATTTTTATCTGAGGGAGAAGTTTTGATACCCCTGGRTGCTGGGGAAGCTTAAAGTGCTATTGATTGTATTCTTTGAGTAATTAAGACAGCTATTAACAKGGTTCAGGCAGGTTCCTCACCCCATCTGCTGAATAAATATAATATACAGCAGTAATGGGTCATGATTATAGACACAGAATGGTTTGGGTAGGAAGGGGCCYTAAAATCATCTCGTTCCACCCCTTCCCATGGGCAGGGGCGCCTTCCACTGTCCCAGGGTGCTCCAGCCAGGCCWGGAACARTTCCAGGGATGGAGCAACCACAATTTCCCTGSGCAGCCTGTGCCAGGGCCTCACCACCCTCACAATTTAAATTCCATTTAAACCCCTTTGTGACATGTCCTATTTAATCTTACAGAACAAGCCATGTCTTGACTTGGTGCCTGTATTTTCCATCCAGTTAGATTTTGTTTCACATGCTTCCAAGCAAAGAACCACCTGATTTTTAGCAATCTCCAATTACAGTTTGTCATTATTTTGATTATTTAGGGACAGTTATCCAATATGCTGAGAGCCAAGGAGCACCACATCAGGSGTCTATGAATTAAATGGGATTTCACAGTTCTGTGGACTGCAAACACAAATTCACCACCCTGCAATGGCTGGTTCAGCRCACAGAACATCATGTCAGGCCCACATTATTTGCATGGATTTGTCATCTATCAGTTGTTTCTCTAGAATTTTAGGAAATGGATAATAAATCAATCTGGCAAGACTTCACTATTTTTACCATGAAAAATCCAGCCAATAGTGTGTAACCTGTTATGTCAGAATCTGGTTTAGGGCATCCTGGTTTTGGTCAAGTCGTAGAGAGAACTACATCACCACCCCCTAAGAAAGCCATATTTCTACAGAAATGCCTGCACAAAGCTTAAATCCACACTATTATTTTCACAAGCATTGTTGCATTCCTGAAATATTCACTCTAGAGAGAAAATCATCAGCATCACTGCCATAAAACACCTCAATATTTAATAGGTGCATGATGTAGATGCATGCTGGAATAACCCTTGAGATTACAAAGACCCTCGCATTTCCATCAAGTCTTTGCTTCTTCATTCATTTTCAATGATCAAGCACATATAACTGAAAAAAAAAATCTTTTTATTTTATTCTGATTTCCAGTTTATCACAACTGGTATAATTTGGGAGGGGGAAGCTTGTTTCTGCTTTTGCTTTGACAGATTCTTCATAAATTTTGTACCCCATGTTGAAAGCTCAATGAAAAGAAAACAAACCCCACAATATATATCTAGCTAATTCAGGTCTACGTCATTCCTCCAATCAGCATCTTGCTGGAAAGAAAGGAGAATCATGGCATATATCATAGGTAGGTATGATTTTACCTATGGTGCGACCTAGAGGGTTAGGGYAGCCAAAGCAATGTGGTGAGATGGATGTTTTGGTAAACAACACTCCTCTGAAATTCGCCTCCAGCATCACTGCACAGCAGTGATTCATTCTGCTACCGCTTTGTCTTGCTGCAAGTGCTCAGCCTGCCAGAGATGGTGACCATTGACAGGGTCTTGGTGCCAAAAGGGTCATTTTTGGACAAGCAAATGGCAGATGTTGGATGAGCAGCGTGTTCTTTGGTTGGGTCAGTGAGGTTTCTGACCCCCAGGTGCTGCCAGGTGGGTGCTGGGGC